CTCGTAGACTTTCCGCTGTATCTTGAAGAAGGAAAACAGCGCCAAGTTCTTTCGTCGCAAGTGCGAACTCCAGGCAGTTCCCGAGTATAGCTTGGAGTCTAGATGATGCGGTACTTAAACGTTCTAAAGCGTCGGTAAGATCGTTTCGTAATTTTGAAATGGTACCAAGATGCTGTTCAATTTTGAGCAACTGCACTTTGAAATCATTACCTAGGAATTCTTCGTAAGCTTGCCTTGCCTTGTTCAATAATATTTCAGCATCATCTATTTGTCCTCGCTGTATAAGGCAAAGTGCAAAATTAGTACCAAATTTCGAATCTAGCATATCCGAAAAGTATGGTTTAATTGTAGTGGTCCCAATGGACTCACGTACTGCTTTGAAGCATTCTTCGGCGTATTCAATCTCATATCGGTCTTTATATATCAGGCCAAAATTGTTAAGGACGATGTAGTACCCAGCAGCGTGAGGATCAAAGAGATCTATCTTTTGCGTTTGGCTATTGACGGATCTGGCTTCATCGACTGATTTGTCATTGGCATGAGCTATAGGCGAGAGCCTGGTGTACCAGTTAAGAGTCCAAGCATAGATCCTCGCCGCATCATCCAATTGATTTCTTCGTTGGAGTAAATGTCCAAGATGACCAAGAATAGGCAAGAGTCCACAATGAATATTCATGCCATAATCATTGAGAATTTCCAAATTCTCTTTGCATTGCAATACGTGAGGGAAAAGCCGACGTTGTTCATCCGTAGCTCCTTCGGCATGTTCATTTAGTACTGCTCTTGCAACGTTATAGATAGCAGAATTGATGTACATTTCGGCATCGCTTCTCTGAATTGCGAGTAAACGAGCTACTCTGTGGACCACGGGATAAATCGCAATACCTGCCTTTCCAAACCTTCTATTCGGCACTGGTCTAATCAAGCATATTCCACCTAGTTGCCTTACTAGATCGTTAAACCGACCATGAGATAAGTCTGTAAATAGCTCGGCCCATATGCATTCAGGATCTAAAAAGGCGCAGACCAGGAGAAAACCCCGAACATCTGAATCCAGCCTCTCAATGGCTAAACTGATAGTTTTAGTCAGTGACTGATCCAAACCAAGTTTAGAGTCATCCGGAATGCTCCTATCTTGAGATCGCCAAAGACTAATATAGTCTTCTACGTTTATTTTGTAATGTTTCATATACTGAGCCGCGCTATGGACCGACAATGCATGATTGTCTAGGAGTTTCGCTAATTTTAGGTAACCTAGAATCTTGTAAGTACCTAATTTTAAATGATCTTTGAGGAATTATATAGCGTACTAGTATCTCCTGATCCTTCCTGTTTTCCAAGGACTTTTTCTATTAGACGTATGCATTCGAAGTCTTCCAGACCCTCTACATGGACATTTGGATATTTTTGCGCGAGATTCGAATCCTGAGAGGTTATTATAATGGTTCCCTGGCGAATCTTTTCAACGAAATGCTGTACCCAGTGTTTTTTTTCGTCAACTACTGGCTCATTGGGTCGTTGGGGAGAAACGTCGTCTATGAGGATAAACCACTTATTATTACCCTTGGTATTAAGCCAGTTGATGATAGTATCTATGTTTTCCCTTTCCCGGTCTTGAAGCTTATGAGATTCTCCTGTCGCCGAGATGTCTCGTGTTAAATTGACTGACTGTGATGGCGGGGTGAGACTGGGGATATCCTCTGCGAATCTAGCTAGAGTTATGCTGAAGTCAATTTCCGAATTTCCCGGAAGCTCGAAGCGAGCAGTAAAGTCTCTCGATCTTGCAAAATGACGAGCCATTAGCGATTTCCCGCATCCTGCTAATCCGTATAGACATAAAATGGACCGGAAACGCGGGTTTGTGCCAATTTCTTCGGACATTCTATTCAGGAGGTCGGATCTGTCTACAAAGTAGGCAGGCTTCTGTTCAAATCTATTGGAATGTATCCTATCGACATCAAACCTTTCAGGAGGTGATAATGATTGCTTTACTATACAGAATAACGGGGATTAGCGAGATATGTATAACCTTCTATTTATCCAAGTACCATTCAGATCCTGGCTGGACTATAGATGCTCTTTGTGCTTATACAACTTACAGTTCCTTTTCCCATTACCATATTCACTTAACTTCCGTCGCTCTAGTAGACTCTCTTGATCAGCTTGCATGCTACGAATCACGCTTGAAACCGCTAGGAAAGACCGGTCGTTTGGATCCGAAAACTTGTTAAGCTTTAAGTGATCCGAATGTAGAAAAGCTCGGTCCCAGCCGAGGATATGGGCAGACCTCTCGTTTACCGTCTTTGCGATAATCAGTTTGACATATTCATTAACAATTGATCCTAGGAACATACCCTTGCTCGTGTCAGGCCCGGGATATCCAATCTCTTCCCATAGTCGATGGCGTGTAGTTCAATAAAACAGCATATAGGCAAGTCTAGCTTATCCCGGAGCCGGCCAAAAGCATGCGTCTTGTCATGTAAATGCCTCTTTTGTTGATGTCGCGCTATAGTGACACTCGTACGAAAACTAATGGAACCCATAAACCGCGGTGAGGCTTTAGCGAGGCCTCGCATTCTCTTTCCCGTGAAAGGAGTGCCGAGTGCCGCGAACCCGACCGTTCGTTCAGGTAAATATTTGAATTCTCTGGTGCGGTCGGCGTATAATAAGGCCTGTTAAGTAAGAACCGGCCCCCTAGATACGAAATGCACGTAGAAATCATCAACTCACATGCAGCACAACTAACCCTCCGAGGCTATGTGCAATGAAGATTAAGGGACGCTCCAAAACATCAGTGCGGCTGTTATGTAAGTTCTTAACCAGTTCCTCACCGCAGAGATCAAGGTGGATTTTGGGGGCCTTGGAGTGCCACGTCGCCTCAAAACTGTACGCCATAATTCGGGCATTTGGTACTACAGCAGGAAGCATGTCAGGATCTTTCAGCCAGTGAACATGTGGTAATTGCCCTCCCTTGTCTTTCCAGGTCCATGACCAGTCTGCACCAAAACCCAAACCAGGAATAGCAACTATACTAGCCAGCGAAATTAGTCCAGAGGGTTTTATAGGGTCTGATAAAGGCTTACTCGACTTCAGCTTTACCGGTTGGGTCATCATATAAAATTTCAAAGGATGACCGGTTGGTGGAAGCCTACAACTGATTTAGTCATACGTACGAGGCGTCTTGACCAACTACTTGAGATTCGCTAACTTGTTTCCCGTCTTTTTGGGAGTGCTCAGTGGCATCTTCTCGTTGCCCCCCGGGCTTCGCCCTTGTAAATGGAGATCGCATGTGTTGGAAACTATGAGACATCCTCGCTATGGTGGACAAGGCTCTCTTCACAGAAAGATATAACTATCTAGGATAGTTTAATATTATACGGATATAGCAAGCCGTAAAGTAATATATTAGGTACTTGTAGATAATTGGATGAAAGTTGAGTTTACTAGAAACTCTGATAAATTACGTAGACAATACTGGCGTGTCGGCGGTGTCCGTAGGCTGACTGTCGGTCTACCTATGGTCTCTATGGGCGGGGCCAGCGCTAATACTTCTAATCAGATTGGCCAACCATTCAATAGAGGCTGGACACTTGGACAAATCAATAATAATACTCAAGCGCTGTTTCGAGATGAAATTATTTCTATGATACTCATACACTTATTTGAAAATAGAGAACATTAATCTACCTCGCATTTTTACATAGTTATTTATCAATTAAGATCTTGAATACTTCCCCACACCTGATTATCTCCTCTAAGACCCCTTTTATCCCCGCCATCTAAAGAAGATATCGACAATGTAACATAGACCCTATGGTTACAACACAAACCTCGTAGTAATATATGCTTAGAACTCTTTAACCCTTAACTACTAAGCAACCAGGCGTCACTTTATCATCCTTCCACAGGGCTGGCTCGTTGTAGATAGATAAGAACACTTCGATGACTACAAATGAAGCTAAAAGTGGCGTGTCGATTTCGAGTCGATTAAGGTCAAGTCCTCACCTTGGACTGCACAAGCTCACGGATCCAAGTTATTTTCAGCATATCGATGAATGCCCAAGAATAAAATTCCCGGCTAAGATGCCCCTTCTAGTACGTTTCGGAGGTTCTTTAATTGCTCCTCATCGAAGTCTTTCACAAAAAAGGCATGTACGACGTATGCTAATTTACAGCTCAGGGCTAGGGCTGAAGAAGCCTCGGGTGGAAGAAAATTATGTAGCTCGAATAAGATAATGAGTGGTTGATCTAGTAGTAGGGACGTAGTTTGCTCATTTATAGCGCGCATAGGCGGCTGGTGAGGAGAAGAGCTGTCAGCCATTTGGGAAATGTAACTGAAGGTAGAAACTCCCAAGAGACTATATTTAGTATGAGTATATTGTTACACTATAAAGGAGTTTGAATACTGACCGTTGAAGAATAGGAGAGAAGGTGTCTCGAATTTGTAGTCGTGAACTTGGAGGATTGATTGCTTGCAGGTACGATATGTGACATATTTGCAATCATTTTTCAGTTACGGCGAGATATCCTACCACTTATATAGTCATTCAAGAGCATCAAAGCAAATAGAGGTATATCGTAGAGTTTAGAAGTTGATAAGGACCAGTCTGTGTCCTCAGCCAGGGCCTTAACTCTATATTATGTAACTATCCATAACTATAACACTATCCTATTAAGATATTATTCCAACGCTACACAAATGTTGGGAAATATTCATCTATACAAGAAATATAGATTTTTCCATGTTTATGCAAAAGTCGAATAACACCGAAACTTAAGGAATACGTCATGACAACGAAAGCTTGAGCAAAGCTTCCAGCATCATCAACAACAACGCTGACATTCCAACATTCAAGCTCTTAGGAACGCGGGGTAAATTTGCCTGCGTCGAGCTTCTCTTCTCCAATGCTCAATTATTATCTTCCATTCTAATTCTCAAATCTTTCTATTAGTAGCATCGAGACCATAAAAGTATCGTTCTACTTCTAGCATCGTCGAAAATGGCTGCCCAAGGCTATGTTCAGACTTCCCTTATCTGGGTGACTTACGCCGTTGCAATTTTATTAGCCTTAATTGTTGCTAGCATCACCACTTTTATATGGCAAACCCCACGCGACCGATCTGCGATCGTTACCACCGTTGCTATTGTCAGCTTAACCTCCCTCTTCGCGACTGTCTTCCTCCTCCCTGTCGACATCGCCCTCGTCTCCTCGACTACGTCCACGGCCCTCGGCGCTAAGAAGGACTGGGCTACTCCCGAACGCGTCAACAACATCCTCCTTACACTCAAGATCGTTTATTATTCTCTCTACAGCTTCGATGCCCTGCTCTGCCTGCTGATAATTCCTTTCTCTTACTTCTGGTATGAGGAATATGACGAAGTTGAGGAGCAGGAGGGAAACCAAACATTCGGCTCGCGCCTCTGGGGAGCTTTCAAATATACTATTGCTTTCATACTATTGATCGTCATCATATTCCTCGTCGGTTTCTTCGTGCCTGCTGCCGGCGCCCGCGGCGATGGTAAACACCTCGATCTCGACTTCTTCAAGAAGCTCCTCGATGAAAATCATGGAGAAAAAGCGCTGACCTTTGGTGTCGGTCTACTTGTTACGCTGGGTACCCTACTCTATGTTCTTTACGCTGGTGCTGGTCTCGCCCTTTTCCCCGTCTCCTTCATCAAATCCGCCCCCTCCGTGTCCGCGCCGCAGCTCTCTGAAAACACTGCGTCTCAGCTGGAGCAGAACAGGGAGCGCCAGAGACAGTTGGAATTGCGCAGTGCTGGTCGGTCAGATGGAATGCCAGCCAAAGACAGGCGCGAACTAGAGGCCCTTGTTCGCGAAGAACGGACTCTAGTGCGTCGCGAAAGGCTTGCTGCCGAGGCGCAGGGCGAAGGCAAGGGTTTTATCGTCAGGGCATGGTCAAAGATCTGCGCAGTTTTCAGACCGCTGAAGCTCATTGGAGGAGTCCTACTTGTCGTGCTCGCACTACTGATCTGGGTCTCCATGCTAATCACAGGCATCGACAAAGCCGCCAACTCGGTCTGCAAGGAACACTGCGGATACATCCTAGCGCATATCAACGTATTCCAGCCCGTCAACTGGCTCTTCGTACAGACCGCCCGTGCATTCCCCGTGGACTACGTGCTCATGGCACTCCTAATCTTGCTTTTCTTCAGTAGCTCCGTGTCGGGCTTAGCTGCTATCGGTATCCGCTTCTTATGGCTACGCATCTTCCGAATTAGCAAGGGTCGTACGGCGCCGCAAGCTCTACTCATCGCGACGGTCATGTTGGCACTTATCATGCTAGGTATCAACTACGCCATAGCTATGATGGTAGCACCGCAGTACGCGAGCTACGGGACCCAGACATTCTGCGATCTACCACCGAAACACCCACTTGGACGACCCGACTGCACCGACGCCCCCGAAGCTGTCAAGCCGTGTTCGGAGTGGGCGGGCAGCGCGTCGCGCGGGCGGTGGTCGATGGAGCCGCAATCCGTATGCACGCCGACTGTCATGTCGACGTTCCTTAACCGCATCACGCTTAACTGGCCCGTGTTCGGTGCTATCGACTTCTGGGCGCAGTTTGCCTTCCTTGGCGTCTTCTTGCTCGTGTTCCTAACAAGTCTATTCCGCGCCCCAAGGCTCAACCTTAGCGAGATCGACGAGGAAGCTGAGGCTGATGAGGAAGAAGGTCTTCTGGCGAGTACCGGACGCCGTTTTGGTGCTACCTGGCAAGACATTACGGGCCGGCCGAAGCGCGGGAACGGAGCAGGTGGGAATGGTTCTGGCTACGGCTCTGAAGCGTAGCTTCCCCTAGATAGGTAATTACTACCAAGTTACTTTTGCTACAGATAACTTACGGTGTGATATATGCTGTCTATCTATATCAGGCCGAGTGGGAAGACTTGTTTAAATAGTTTGATTCTAAAATATCACCTTGTCTCTCCTTCACTATGTTCTAGGCATACAATGGGATGAGTGGGTTCATACATGAAGGGCATTACATCTATCTAGCTTCATTGTGATGTTGTCAAAATACAAGGGATACATGTGTACGGAGTATGGGTATTAGCTTGCGGGCAAACAAGCAAAATGTATTGGACTGGACTGGATGGCGTCATGATACTGAGATTCTGCTACTACTACAACAAATTGGGGCGTGGTGTGGATAGGTTAGGTAGGAAATGCTAGAAATAGGGAATATGATATTACTTTCTATTGGTATATGGTTAATGTGCATGTGCCATTGTGAATATTCGTTTTGTTAAATAGGTACCTACCTAAGTAGATGATGGTTCTACGGGGGACTCCTCTCAAGGAGGCATTGCGCCCAATTAGGTTTTGAAAAGGGGCTTACTGTAGGACTTGCGAATTTAAAACTGGATGACTAGGTACCTACCTAGCGAGCATTGTTCACTAGGTAGTAAATATTGTGTTTTGAACTCTGGGAGTATGTTGGGCTATGCTATAGCATTGAGTGAATTATCTTACAACTCAGTTGAAAATTCTAGTGTATACCTACACACATTATTATCGGGTCTTGATAGTTCGAACTAGTTTACTCACCGTCCCTTTTTTTTCCCCCTATATATAACCTAACACGGATTATTACATCGTGAGCTAAGATGACTTAATATATCCGACGTGTAAGGCAGAATTCACCGTAGTCAAGGCATATCCACCCTCGCTACTCAGCTTGCTGATGCCAAGAGCTACATTATCTACCCTTGCTTATCTGTATAAGGGAACAATAGTGAGATCCTATTATTTAGGTAGATACCTCACTAGAAGGGAATTCATATGTTACATAGTTAATTGATTTAATTGGAGGCCGTCGAGGCCTCTGTGGCCAAGCACCTAACTAGCCGATCTCTCAGATAGTATCTCGTTTCGGGAATGGCATCAAGCGAAAGGTGGTATAGGTAGGTAGGTCACAGCGCCGGGTATCTAGATATAATTGCAACTCAAAAACTACAATGCTGATCCAACCTAATCGTAAAAGAACCAATCATATATCGTCAGCGTCTGACATACTTCTCCCAGCGGTGCCCACGCTCATCATACCCTGCACTAGGACCGACATGCATCTCCTTCCAACACCTCGCGCAGTAGACGTCGCCGTCGCAGTCTAGACAGCGGATAGCGCCGTCCTCTAAACACACAACACACCACGTCTTCTGGTCCTCGTCTGTGAAACCATATTGCTTGATGAGCCCCGGAGCAGGTCGATCAGATGGTGCGAAGGTAGGCGCTGAAGGGAGGCCTAAGGAATCGATGTCTGCTGGTACCGAAGGCAGATCCGGACCAACAGGTGTATCAACGTTGAGCGCAGCCATGCGAGACGTGATAGATGCTGCAAAGTCGGCGTCGTCCTGGGACGCCTGAGGATGATCTGGTTGGTGTTGGTCCTGCAAATCCGACGGAACCGTAGGTAAGTTAAAGGGGTCGCTTTCATCGGACCCTGGTGCTTGTGTACTTTCATTTGCTGCCTTACCGCCTTTGACACCTGGCTTTGCGGTGTGGCTTGGTGAAGTGGGTGAAGAACCAGGCTGAGACGGAGGCTTATTGGCCTGGTCGTATTCTACCTCGTCAGCCGTTTGGGCGATAATATCGTCGGCTTCACGAGTCATCCGTTCACCCTCGGAGTCGTCGTCGCTACTGTCTTCACCTTCGTTTTCATTGCGAGATTTCTTAGTCTCCGAGTCCTTTTCTGGATCCTGGCTGGTTTTGGCAGCATCTCCAAGTTCTTCAAGAAGTGCGGTTACCCTGCGATGCTCGTCTTCAGCTAATACCTCCTCGAGCCATTGCTGATCAGATTCAAGATCTGCAAGAAGCTCTTCGAGAGTCTGATCGTCGGTATAAAAGAGTGGATCTTCATCTTCATTCGCATCTTCTATAGATGAAGTTGGTGCTGCGTCTACTCCCGTGCCCGAAGATTCGGGATTAGGGGGTGGCTGTTGTTGTGGTGGGTTTGAAGATGAAGAAGTGATGTGGATATTGCTATCATTTTGGTTTCGAAGACTCTTTAACCTTTCTGTGAGAGCATCTTCTTTGGATAAAGGCTTGGCTGATTCTATAGTAGATGCTGCAACTGACCTAGATACCTACGCTTAGCGAACTTATGGTCTCATGTAACAGGCTATGTAAGCCTGATATATGAAATAAAATAAGAAATTATACAAGGTTGCCTTACTTTGATGACGGGCTTAGATTGACAGTGCTAGGCTTAAGAGCATTTAGCCTCTCAAGAAGAGTTCGATCAGATCCCGGGAGGTCCGTCATGGTCAAGATGAGTAGGCGATACACTGATGTTGCTGTGTTCAATAATAAGTGGCTGTATGAGGCGTTAACTTTAGTTTCCTATTGGTTTCCCAAATATTATCAAGGTTCATGCTGACAATTGTAAGGCTGAGCAGGTGGTCCGGAGATTATTGTGCATCTAACCTAACCTAACCTAACCTAACCTAGATAATTAGTGTATCTTGCCAATTTGAGGGAACGTGATGTCACTGTAAGATCGGGCTCAGCTTAAGTTGCACTAACAGGGAATGGAATGTTGACAGAGTTATTACATAAGTAAAGTGGCATAGCCCTTAAATGGATAAAGTATTCCAAATCAGGTTCTGTTGTAAATCATTGTACCACTTACATGCTTACACATGATAGGCTGTGAATTGAATATCCTTGATGATTTGACATCGTGCTCGGACTCTATCATTTTAATTGGGTACCTACTAAAATTATATTATTGAAATGTTAGGTATTCCTTTTTTTACTGTAGGAGTCAGTCAGATAACAGATATTAGTAGGTGCCCTTCTAGAGCAATTCTAGAAGTGAATCTATTGAAATCATGAACAAGAAGGCTTAGACAAAGCCTTAACTCATTTCTGTTAAACAGTAGACGTCACGAGAGAATAAAGAGGCAATGATGATCCAATCCGCCTAGAAACTAAATAAACCTAAAAAATTGGCCACACCCGCCACCTACCAGTACATACCCAGATACCTAACCTGCTAACCTAACAATGTAATAATGCATCCCAGTTACTAAACTGCGCACCATCGTGTGTAGTGCTTTGCCAAGATTTGCTTGGCACCGCAGTTTGGCCTAAAAGAGGATTATCGAGAGTCATCAATCATACCGTCCATCAATCACATATATATTCCCAGTTTTCGCTTCCTTCTTACTTATTTCAGATTTCATTTGGTTCAACCATCATCAACATCTAATTAAACCTAAGCATCCCTGTGCCTCAATATCCTATCGGAAAGCTTTGATCTCATTGCTCAATTGTTTATTACCTATCGATACTCATAACAAACGCGATTCCCATGAAGACTTCGCATTTCCTCTTGGGCTTAGTCGCCCTTGGTCAAGGCATCAACGCTGCGGCTATTCATAATGTCGAAGATGTCGCGTTAGACGTAACGACATCGGATGTTCCGATAGAACAACGGGATCCGGAGACGTTTGCACAGAGTGAAGATCTATGGAAGCGCAAAGGCGGTGGAGGAGGTGGTGGTAGAGGCGGTAGTGGCTCTAGTGGTGGCTCCAGCGGTGGCTCTTCAGGTTCGTCTGGCGGTCGCGGTGGTTCAGGCTCCTCTGGTATTTCATTTTGAGGAGTACATTCGTCAGGGACGCATATAGGCTAACAATTTCATTACAGGCAGCTCCGGAGGTTCTTCTAGCGGCGGTCGCGGATCGTCAGGATCCAACACTGGCGGCTCGACAACAACCGGAAGTGGTACCCGACCTAATTACGGAGGCGGGTCTTATTATAGCGGTGGCGCAACGCAGCCGTTCAAATCCGGTGGTAAGACCGCCTCAGGCATCTTCCCCTTCGTCCTCGGCGGCGCCGCGATCGGGGCCCTTGGCTTCGTAGGCCTGAGCTTAGCCTACAACGCATACGCGTATCCCTACACGAACCGTTACTACTACCACAACAGCACAACCAATCAGAACGAGACTAAGCCCGTTACGTGCATATGCGACTACTACGGAGAATGCGGCTGCGACGACAACGGTAACCAAACATATTTCAACTCGGTAATCGGAGACGGCAGCTATCAAAACCTAGACAAATCGGTTGTTACAGTAGCTGAGAACGAAACTACACACGAGAAAACCATCTACATCATCGGCACTTTGCCCAACGGCACAACATCGTCCGGTGGTACCGAAGATCCAAACGCGGGCGCTGGCTTGCAAACACTAGCTCGCGCCGTAGGCTGGTGGCCGGTTGTGACGACGGCAATCGCCATCGTATGCCTTTCTTAACGAGGCAGATTTTGCTTTGATTTATAACATACGCTTTTTGTATATATGACTTCGTACATTCTTTCACGCATGACCCCCACGAGATAAGATTTGCGGCAACGCCTCGAAATCAATGGTTGATATCCCTATAGGCGTTCCGGGTTTGTCTAGAAAGAGAGGGTCGGTTTGGGGGTACAGTTTATGATCACATCGCTGCTGCACGTTGTATAGCAGCAGGAAGTAGCCTCATAGATCTGCGAGCTATGCTAACCGCAGACCTGGACTTGGGGGTTTTCTCCTAGACAAATAGCAATATCATTTTTACTTATATGGCCATGTTCTATTAAGTGATATATTATAAATAAGTATCTGAGTACAGCTGGTAAAAGTGACTTTTAGCTAGTGTCTCGATATATGTTCAGGGGTATCTTATAAAACAATTCGTTACGTATCGTAGTCCCCATCAGCAGTAAGAATAGCAAATAGCAAGACATTCTCCCCTTTATACCGGATCTGATATTTCAGGATCCTTGCTATCCTCAGCAGTAGCATCCTCTCTTTCCTTCCTCCTCTTCACGCACCAATCTCCCAAAATCTTCCATATCCTCTCCTTTTCCTCCGGCCTTAGCGTAGCCGCAAGTCCACTCGTACTAGTCGCTACAAACACTCTCGTCCCCTCCCAAGGCTCCTCCTCCTCATTCCCCTCAAAAACACCCATCCTCTCCTCCTGCCACCCATACTTAAACTCGCCCTTCTTCATAGCCCGTCCATGGCGCACGCGAAACACGCTTTCCCAGATACTCTTGCCCGTGACACACGCGACCTCGGGCCGCCACCGGCGACACTTATCCTCGAGAATGGCAACGCCCTCGTCCATCTCGGCCTTGCTCAGCTCGGCGCCGTTGCGCGACGGGCGGGCCACGATGTTAGTGTGGCCGAGCGCGTACCGCGCCGGCATGGTCTGGTCCTCGTACGCGTGGCATCGGACAGGCGTGATCCCAGACGAGTAGAGCAGCTTCCAGAAAAGGTTTGAGGGGTGCGCGTATGCGTGTCCGACGCGCGCTGTCTGGAGGCCGGGATTCAGCCCGATGAAGAAGATTAATAGGTTTGGCGCGATTGCGTCTGGGAGTAGGGGTAAGTGTGCGTATGTTGAGGGCGGGGCGTATGAAGACGGTCCTCGAGATCGCTTTTTTGGAGAGGATGAGGCCGATGCTGGGGGTGTACTTTTTCTGCTACTCTCATCTGCTTCTGATACCCCCGAGGGCGCTTTGCGCTTCTTTGATTTGGGTGGCGTTTTTGATGATAGTGAGAGTGAGCCCTGAGATGAGGCGGCAGACTGAGGTGTCAGTAGCCTCTGGCTTCGACGTGGTGATATAGACGATGAGCTTTGGCTCGACCCGTTAAACACGAAATTCTTCAATTGAAGACGACCTTCAAAACTTGTCTCTCCCAGTGAATTGTGTATGTCTTGATTATCTTCATCTGCCGCCATCATGACGGTTTATGACGAATATGAGAAGTTTAGTCTATGTTAAATGAAACTGCTGTAAATCTTCATGTCAAGGAAATAGAAGGCTGATACTAGATAAGTATGTACATTGTCACTCAGTCAAACTCTATTAGTTTAGGTAGATTCTTGGGGTGATTCCTGGGGTAGTCGCCACTGCGAAGTCATCTTGACTTGCCGTATGAGCATAGTAGATCTGCTAGGGTCTTATGTAATTACCGAGTTAATAATCGATAAAAGGTACATCTTCATATGTACTAATCTTAGGTAAGGTATGACCTTGTATACGGATCCTTACTGACATTCCGTACTGATTGACATCTCATAAGTTCGTATAAGTCTAAGACTGACTGTAAACGTCAATTGAACAGATGGCATCACCGACGCCTTCGTGTTGATGTCAATCCAAGACCATCATCCCTATCCAAGTCCTCGTATCGAATGCCAGATCGGAAAGACTTGTCAGGGATTATTGCAGGAGCCGGCAGCGGCGCGACCCAGAGCTTCCAAAACTGCGGGTATACCTGCAGATCGGATACGGCGAGTCAGGTACCGCAAGTCTCTTGCGAATTCAATTTACCATTGAACTGGGTATATTACGTATATGTTCATGTAGGATAAAAAAAAAACATTTATCGGGAAAACTACAGGTGCAACTATGATTGCAATATCACATATATTACACGTCGTCAGCTTGCTAATTTACCTACCTACGTATATACAAATACACACAACAAACGAACACAGGTATGCAGTCTCTAGGCTATACGAAATGTAACTTTGAACAACGTAGCGAATAGGAAGTGGCTGCGTCGCCGCATGGCTTTTCGAAGCGGTGAGATGCGAGATACAAGTATCCAACCAGATAATCGAGATGAATAGGAGGGCGGGAAGAAAAACAGGAGATGCTAAGTGATGGTGTCACTAATGCACTAATGCACTAACACGCTAAAAATGGAGGGGCAATGAGAAAAGCTGAAGCTGTTAAATTCCCCTCAACCCCACTAAGTCTGCATGTTATGCCGGGTTATTTAGCTTCTTTAGTGGATGGTTAAGTGTAATGTACCCTAACGTAACATGCAGATATTAGGTACCTGTTACACTGGGATATACACTGGGATCCCTTGTTCCTGCCCCTCTGCCCCTCAGCCCCTCAGCTCCTCCAGCTTATTCGTACATGTATCCTAAGGGGGAGGATCCCTTATTTACATACTTGTTCTTCTTTTTCTTGACTTCTCAACCTTAAGTATCTGCTTCTTCCATAAAGTCAGCACTAGCTTTAGAATTCTAGGCTGTTTCTTGGCAAGCGATTGGTATATTTCCTACCTGTTTTCCTATTTTTCTTATAGTTAAGCTTTATTCATTCTTACAACTCCTAACACCACTCAAGATCACCATGCCAGAATTCACTCCTACCGAGGTCCAGAACCTCAAGTCTGTATACGAAAAGGCCGATCAAGGCCACGTATTCACCTACTTCGATTCCCTAAGCCAACCCGACCAAAAAGCTCTGTTCGGACAGCTCCAAAAGATCGACCCCGTCAGAGTTCACAAGCTACGAGACCTTGCTCTGAACCCACCGACAGAGGAGGCACAGACCGTCCTTGAGCCACTTCCCGAGTCGGCAACCGCTAGCATTTACGATTCGAAGCCGGAAGATATTCAAAGGTGGTATGATCTCGGTCTAGAGCTGATCGGTAAGGGCGAGGTTGCCGTAGTTTTACTGGCTGGCGGTCAGGGTACCCGTCTAGGAAGCAAGGCCCCAAAAGGCGCCTTCAATATCAAACTTCCCTCCCACAAATCCCTCTTCCAGATCCAAGCCGAGCGAATCTTAAAAATCCAAAAGCTAGCTGCTGCGCGGGCCTCAGACCCTACTAAGGCTGTGATTCCATGGTTTATCATGACCAGTGGTCCCACACGTGGGCCGACTGAGAAGTTCTTCAAGAAGGAAAAGCTCGACGAGCTTAGCGCCGAGGAGAACGCAAACCGAGCCAAGGGCGAGCCGTACTTTGGTCTTGACCCCAAGAACGTGACCATCTTCGAGCAAGGTGTGCTCCCTTGCATCACGAACGATGGAAAGTTTATGCTCGCGAGCAAGGCGAAGCTTGCAGTTGCCCCTGACGGCAACGGCGGCTTATACAAAGCTCTACAAGACGAAGGAGTTCTCGAAAAAATGCGGCCCACTATCAAGCACGTCCATGCGTACTGTGTTGACAACTGCTTAGCCAGGGTTGCGGATCCGATCTTCATTGGATTTGCCGCCGAAAAGAAGGTTAAGATTGCCACTAAGGTTGTGAGGAAGCGAGATGCCAAGGAGTCGGTCGGTCTCATTCTCCAGAAGAATGGCAAGCCTGACGTGGTCGAATACTCGGAAGTTGACGATGCCACCTGCCAAGCAGTAGACCCCAAGCAGCCCAGCATCCTCAAGTTCCGCGCTGCCAACATCGTCAACCACTATTACTCATTCGAATATTTGGACAGCATGGGAGATGCTGTAAACAGCTTACCACCGCACGTTGCCCGAAAGAAGATTCCCTTCTTTGACACCGAGAAGGGCGAGGCTGTAGATCCTAAAACACCCAATGGTATCAAGTTGGAGCAATTCGTCTTCGACAACTTCAAGTGGCTAAACTTGAACGAATTCGCTTGCTTCGAGGTCAAGCGTGAAGAGGAGTTCTCCCCTCTGAAGAATGCAGACCCAGCCCAGAAGGCTGACGGTTCATTCGAGAAAGAGCCTGAGGACAGCCCTACAACCAGCCGCAGACACATCAAAGAGCAAGGCCGACGGTGGGTTGAGGCCGTTGGCGCAACTGTCAAAAACGGAGATGCTGATGGCGGTCTTGAGGTTTCCCCACTCACGAGCTACGTAAGTCCCCATACATACAAACACCAGAAAACCTTTCTAACAGAATACATAGGGCGGCGAGGGCCTAGAGGGATTCAAGGGACAGACAATCGAAAAAGCTACTATTTAGACAGGCTAAAAAGACAGATGTTCTGATAGATGAATTAACGTAAAATTTTGAATACCTAAAAAGGGGTAATGCTAGTCACCCTAGTCGAGTTGTGGCGTTTCTATATACCTGAATATTTAAAATATAAATACGAGTAAAGTGCCTCGATTATATTATAAGTTAGGTGTCTATTCATTACTCAATATTGCAAACATTTTCAGAATATGTAAACATATATGCTGTCGAAGTTCATCCCCCTTATTTTAAGCTCTCATTAAGTATTGCCTGTTACTGTTGGTACGGGAGATCGTTAGACTTGTAGCATAAGATAACCCTATCCATCATCTCATAGTAGATGATGATGATGAGAACGTTAACGTCTATTGGTTGCTATAAACAGGTAGGTAGCTACAGCTGCGCATCTATGGCGCTTTTAGACGTCTAGAGTACCACCTCCTTAGGTAAAGAGAGACAAAGCTAGAATATCGCTTGACATGAGAGATCCTCCACTTCCTGCCTATAGGATCCCCAGACCCTACCTGCCTTCAGTATTACTCTACCTGGTTAGCGCTGGCGCCAGGTAGCCGACTTTAACCAGGGAAAAACTCATCGAACACGCCTTCTTATAACAAAGATGGAATCACCCTCAGCGCCCAGCAGTGCCCAAGGGCATCTCACAGTAGAATCACATAACAAACCGTCCTTCGATACTATACCCAAGTTTCGATCTTGTGTTCTACTAGAGCGAAATTTTCAAGAAAAAAAGGGGGCAGGGGTTATACATGTGTTATGCTTTAATATATTTATTATCATATACTCATTATTATACCCTATGCCCTTATGCGCCGGTGCGTCATAAACTTTAAACCTATATGCTACCCACAAGGTGACCTTTTGTCATACTATTGTCTAAGACATTACATTGCCCCCAAGGTGCTCCCCCCTGATACCTGAAACATTGTAAGATACCCTATTTAAAGCGCTCAGATAGTGAGCAGAGAAGCACCAGAGACCTTGGATTGTAAATGATGAAAGCCACAAAAGGTATAAGAAAGCTTGGTTTGACGACATTGGCGCTTACAGAAACCTGTCTGCGCCGTCATTACACAACATGAGCTTTTTCAAAGATCGTACAAGATATAAGGACGGACCAAGCTTGAAATACCACGACATCAGTTATGTTCCCAATATGAGGTTTTAAACCTCCCCTAGTCTCCCTCAACGAACGAATTCCCCCTTCATTCATCTCTCATCAGAATATATAGTCTGAAATCAATAAGTCCCTATATAGCACTTTTACACTCTTTACTATATCCCAACGTTATTCCAATGTCGTATCCATCAGAACAGACGCTAGTTGGGTCAAGTATCAACGATTCTGAGCCCAATGGCCGATGCTCACCACAAATTCCTGTATCACTGCCGCTGTTAGAACGGCCTTTTTCCACCCGCATCCACCGTCCGCGCGACGAATGGCTAGAAAACGATAGCTTGCAAGAATTCGACACCACCGATAAACCCTCGTGGATGTGGGCACTCGGAGTCTGGAAGTTCCAACTTTTTGCCTCGCTTCTGTCCTCAGCAAGTGTCATTGGCCTAGCTGTAATAGCCGCAACTTTCTCCGGACGCCCTTTATCAGACTGGCCCTTGAATATTATATCTATCAACGGCGTTGTGGCCATATTGACGACCCTGATGAAAGGGCTTATGATGGTCCTTATTGCGGATTCGATCGGCCAGGCCAAATGGTCTTGGTTCTCGCGAGAGAGACAAGAGGGACGGCCGCTAGTAGACCTAGAGTTGATCGATAATGCCTCTAGAGGTCCCTGGGGGAGTTTCATCTGGCTATCTAAGCATCCATTTCGCCTACACTTTATCAGTTTCGGTGCGCTTTTGACCATGCTTGTCGCTGGCGTAGATGTATTCTCTCAATTGCTCGTCACTGTTGAGGATAGAGCCATTATTGATCCTCAGCAGACAGCCCACGTACCATGGGCGATGAACAACGATGCTTTGATCGAAGATTCGACCTGGGCGGCAGCTATTCTCAGTGGGATGTATAGTACCACTATGGACGACTTACCCGTCAGCTGCCCCAGTGGCAATTGTACCTGGAACGGTGTTGTACCTTCAGTGGGTGTATGCGGAAAATGCACGAACATTACGCAGATACTGCCAAAAACGTGGATCAAGTCCTGTTCCGAGTTCTTGTGCGATTATTCGTTCAATCAGGTGCGAGGGGAGTTAGGGGACACGGATGTAACAAATGGGCCTAGACCCAATTCCACGTGGGATTTCTTTCAGCTTTTTGACTCGATCCCAGAACCGCTGAATGGTGAAGCGGTTTATGTTATTCCTGTATCCGTGGCTACTAACTTTTTCGACTACAATAATTCTATGGCAAGTGAAGTTCGATGGAATGGGAGTGACCATATGGTCCTCGGAGACTTCACCGTTTTTGATATTCCAATGAAATTAGAAACAAGGTTTGATGCTATGGATCTTATTCCCTCATTTGGAGAGCCCGTCGTAACTCGGTGCTACTTTTGGTATTGTATGCAGGGAATTACTGTCAGTGTAAACTCAGGCCAACAAGAACAGACGATAGCACTTGCCGAAGAAGCCTTATTAGCAAGGGTTTGGAACTGGACATTTGCACCAAACGGAGGGGCATTCAGAGACGTCCCAGGTTTCAATATGTCGGGGCGTAACTTTTCTGTGACCTCTCCAGACTATGCAAATATACTACCGACAAGTCCTCTTTCGAGCGTCTCTATCTCTTCAGTGATATCCTCAACTCCGGCAAGACAATTTACTACCAGAAGGAAATTTAAAGACGGATCACCGGTATCCAGGATATATACTGAAGTTAATAGACCTACCTTCTTTCAAGCCTGGCAGTACAGTATGGATGATCGCTCTGCATGGGCCGACCGAATTGCCAAAAGCCTGACGAACATGATACGCCTACAAAATCAGCCTAGTCGTGAAGAGGATGTCTACGCCGGAAATGTCTGGATACATCAGATTTATATCAGAGTATCGTGGCCTTGGATAGCTTATCCCGTTACAATACTTCTGGCCAGTCTGATCCTTTTTGCCAGCAATATATACAGGTCATTGAAACCTAATCGAGGAGCCTGGGGAAATGGAACGTTAGCCTTATTATTGTCGGATATCGATAGCTCAGTTAAAGTTCTAGCGAATGATTCCTACCGTTCAAATGATGAGTTGATAAAGGCCACCGGGAAGGCGATGGTTCGTCTAGAGGAAGATGGGTCGGGCTGGGCATTTCGACATAAAAAGGATTAGTTATGCGGTATCAAAGGTATCTTGAGAGTTTCCAACCCAGAATTATATTCACTCTCAGACTAATTCATTATATTGCAATACGGGAGCTTGTGTCAGGGTATTTCTGACAGCTTGTAAGAAAGAAGTGACAATAAAGTGCTGCTAAAATAAGAACCATATAATTGCCTACGTTGGTGTAAGAATGGTAAGTCGCTGTAAGATCCAGCTTTTTTACCTAGTATTACCTATCACCACGGTATCTCCTTGTTGTCTATAACATTGAGAAACTTTCCCGAACTATTCTCGCGACTGGCATCGTCAATCTATCCAAGTTAGGCGTTGCCCCAAGAAAAAATCAGAATTAGGATGCTTACCAAGCTTATGATTCTCTCGGCGCTATACTTTTTCGTATAAGGGGCCCTCTCTAAGCCTAGATACTCGGCCGTTCCCTTTCCCATATCGGTATCAACAAGTCTGAAGTCAAATCAGTCCTACCTTCGAGGATCTCCTACGCTATTATACTAACCCTGGGTTCACAGCGATGGCAGTAAGCCACTTGTTACCGCAGTGTGCTGCCCTGTAATTAGTTAGCCATCATTTATCCCTTTATCGTATGCGGAAATGCAATATCTTACATGGTAATCCAATTAAGAGCAGCTTTTGAAATACAGTATGCCGGCGCAACGTGTGCGTTATAAGGTTCCATGGCGCTAATAGAGCCAGCAGCGCTGCTGATAGATACAAACTTAGCATTGCTAGACTTTTCGAGTAACGGATGGCAAGCCTGGTATAGAGCAATAGCACCGACAGCGTTGACGTTGAACGCGCCGACTACATCTTCAAGATTAACTTTCTCAAGTGATACGATCGGCGGGCTAATTCCAGCATTTGCTACCACGATGTCGATATGGTCAATGCCTGCTGCCTTAATTTCGTCTGCTGCACGGTTTGCATCGCCAGGCACGGAACTCTCGATCTTGACTAGGAGTAGTTTAGATCCGCTTCCTTTTGGGGATGCCTTCAACTCAGTAACGCCCGATGCTTTCTCATCGCGAATGCTCCCCACCACCGTACAATTTGAGCGTGAGAGATAAATCTGAGCCAAGGCATTTCCAATACCTGATTCGTTTGTTAACCTAAATACCACTATTATAGGCATACGTTGACATACCTCTACCGGCGCCAGTAATAAGAACCACAAACTGATTTTCCATACTCTGGGCTGTTGCTGTATCTTATTGCAACGACTAGTGATGGCTCCCTGTTTAAATCAATGAGAACGTGTGAACTACCTATCTACGAAGTCAGCGTATAACTTAGTTAGTCAGTAGATTATATACCTATTTATGAGTAAGAAGATGAATAAGAGGGAATTAGAGGGGGCGGGGGTATAATCCTATCTTAGGTAATCTCACCCTTAGATTAGGTGGTATACATAGATGCAGAGGGGAGGCTATACTCTATCGAAAATATATGCTCATTGCTGACCCTAGCGAAGATATCATGTCTTAACTGCTAAAGTAATAATATGAAGAAATTACCTAGTTACAATTTAGAGCTTGAAGGCTCTGAAGATCTCTTATATAGAAATTCCAAAATCATATTATTATCCCCTTGTAAACCCTCTGATCGGGCTATTGCATTTATAGACGAGAGCAAGAATCCCCCTTGAGATATATTAGCTAAAACCTTTGCTTAAGATAGCCTATAATACTGAAGGGCACAAATCCGCCTCCTGATGCACTTTTATAAATGATAGGGTATACATAGCCGGGTGCTGTCCATGTCATCCACAAACTTAACCAAATAAAGCTTAAGAAACGTTGCACGATCTCCGGCAGTAGAGTAATACCAGGCGCGATGCTAATCATATCTCCAATAAAAATACCCAGTGGCTGGATTAAGAAGAAACGTAGTGCCCCAGATTTAGAAATCGGTATTCCTATATTTACCCTCTTTAGTTAAAATTCTCAAGTAGCGTAGCATTTATATTGAGGCAACGTACCTGAAGAGAAGTCAACGGCAACATGGATGGCTCCAGATATGGCGAACATCAAGCATATCCGCATATGTTGAACTAGCCTGCCACTTTTTCGTAGCCGGAAGATGTTATGCACAACGTAATTCGTCAATGCATGTAACCAATGGCTGTCAGCCTGAGGCCAGAATACGCTAGATACTGGTTAGTTCATTGATAAGGAGCCCAGGGCTTGCAGACATACCTCCAGATTTTTCTTAAACTAAACGACATCAAGATAGGTCTGTTAAAGGGGGGCCAATCCTGTGGAGAACTCAGGCCCATAGCCACACATACAAAGGATGCAATCGCGTACACTCCACGCTGGAATGATATGAGGCTCACACCTAGTCCAATGATAGCGAAGTATCTCTCCCTAAGCGAGACCTCCCCGGTTCTAGAAAACGGGTTGATTTTATCTAGAAGCCAGAACTTCGTAGTAATATTCTTGTCTCGCAAAGAGTTCATCTCATCTAGTACTAGATAGCAGGCAAGTATCGTCCAACCAGTATAGAAAAGAAACCTAGTAGACGAATACAAAGTTTTGTCTAGCTGGGGCACGGCCCTAACCTGGTACGGTGTATTCACAAAACGCCATGAGAAGAAAGTCGAGAAGCCGAACTTCAGGCGAGATATTATGTTTAATCGGTGTGATCCGCTCAGCTTTGGGTATATCTTCGAACTACCAACCCGCCCATTTCGATTTATCAAGTCATTAGTAGGACCCCGAGTGTCGAAGCTCCAACCACTAAGCACAGCAACATCTAGGTAATGCAGGAATGAGAAAAGTGTATATGCTCCTAAAGCTGCAGCCCAAGTGCCCCTTTTGATATACTCTGAGCAGCTTGAAAGACAATGAAATGTTAAATAAGCCAAGGCGAATAAGGAGATTCGTCGTAGTGATGATGATGCGGATGTAAACCCTATAACAATTGGTGCGAAAAAGGCAACGGCGACGGTATCAAATATAGGATGATACTTCATCTTGACAGGTAATCAACGTGAGCTTTTAAGAATCAAAATAAAGGAGGTTGAGGATGGTAAAGTAGTAAAAACACGACTTAAAGCTGGATTGTTTTCAAAGAGGGCTAGGTATCGCTTTTGGACATTACGACTAACAAGTACCTAATGTACCTAGTCGAAAGAACAATGACCTAACCTAGTCAATAATCGTATTTATAGGATTCCAGATGAGGTATCTGAAACAAAGAGCACTTTCTATACCCAATGTACCAGCTTCTATACCTTATTACATGTACGTTATGAGGTACATAAAGTAGGTACATGTACCTAGGTAAATATGTATGCAGGCAGGTGCCTAAATTTAGAGTTCCTATAAGATTCTAGTTTTTGAAGTTGCCACAGTCGCGACGGCGTTAGAATTAAGTATCATAGGTGGAAGGTACCTTATGAGGAAATTACAACAGGACAAGCTTTTTCATGAGTGGAGGTACAAAACCCAAAGCCTGACTCACATATACGTTCTTGTTAAGATGCCTCGCGCTATACCTGACAGAAGCCTCTCACTACCTGTGTCTTAGGTACTCGTGTTATCGTCTTGATCATCTCCTTAGTAAAAATCAAACAACCTTCTTAAAACCATGGATCCTACCACGAAGTCTTTGGGGATCCTTGATCTCCCTTGCGAACTACTCTTCATGATATTCGACGAGCTTAAAGCCTCTTGTTAGGATTCCGACACGAGGAAAATGCGGATCTACAAGATTCAGGCTATCAGGAATGTGCGTCTCACTTGCCAAAGATTCTACAGCACCAGTTCCCATCTGCTCCTGGACTCCATCACCGTTGAAATGAACTTACATTCTGTTCAACGATTCCTGGACATATCGCAACATCCTCTCATAGCCCCCGGGGTGCGATCAATACGTATCTTACTACTACTATAATAGCTCTCTAGCTGAAGACCTGAATGCTTATGGAAAATACAATGCGCAAAAGATTTATCATATCGTCCGTAACTCAGAACGTAATACAAGCACCGCTTTCTTTAGTCAATACACGGACGTCTACTTAAACCAAATACGCGAGATATGTTGCCAAGGGAGAAAGATGGCTAAGACATGGAGGCACCTAGGACAAAGTGACAACAAGGGACTGTTCGAGCGCATGGCTCGGTCGGGTCACAAATCTACCGATCTCTTTACGGAGAGCAGGAGTTCCTACGGGAGCAACGACGCTTCACCAAATATATAGCCGAGGGAATGACCAGAATGCCTGGTGCCCGAGAACTAGAATTCAGTGATCCTGGGTTCTCCTACATATCAACTTCCATCAATGATGTGACAGAACGTCATAAAATAAAGAAGATGTTAGTCTCACCATTATCATGGATTGACGGAGAGAAATACGAACCAGCATCGCCACCGTACGAGATCATTTTTGATCTCTCCATGAAATTGGTGTCCAGCTCACCAGCCTTCGGATCGAAGTTCCATTATATAGTCCGGATATAGATATACTAAGTCAAAAGCACTCGGTTGATTTAACGGCCGCAGTGCAGACTTTGAGGAAGTTCCAATATTTATACGACAATCGCGAATTTAGACGATCAACGACACCAATATACAATTATACCTTTGCTATGTTGGATACCTCAAGCATCGAAGAAATCCATCTAAATTACAACCCAGAACCATTAAAATGCGTTTTCGAACACGCGATTCCGCAAAGATATTGGCCGAACCTAAAGAAAGTGCAGCTGGAATCTTGTCTCATCCACCAAGGATGCCTAAGTCGATTTTTAAATCGTTGTAATCTGGCCGTCTTCAAACACTCAGAACTTTCTATGGTGGAACTCTTTGACGGTACTTGGGGTGAGACCCTGGATATCCTAAAGAGCTCTTGTTTGGACTTTTTCTCTATTGGCTATTGTTTCATGGATGAAGATGGTGCAAATCTTGATAGCGACGAGTTATGGCTAGTTAAAAATGACGAGGATAGCGTATTTCAATTCTGGAGGCAGCTTAACATACACCATGCAGTAAGAGCAGTCTCCTTGAATGACTAGGTTATTTACCTAGGTAATGCTTTAAAGAAGCTCGGATATTGTATCACGAGGTGGACCCTGAAAAGGAGGCACATTTTGAGGATTAGATTATGGTAGCTTAACATTAAGGTCGATTGGAATCATCGCTGTTGTATTAGAACTCTCCACGAGAATAATATGTTTCTTTAGCTTCTTTACCACTTAAGTATACTCATTACTTCAAATATAAACCTCCGAATCCAATACGATACAAAATTCTAGTGTTGAGAACTAGTACAGAAGACAACAGTCATCTCATAAAAAGCTAAAGAAGGGTTGGCAACACCCCATACGCAACTATAGGATAGGAAACAGGTAAGGGTGGAGGATACCGTGAGCTAGTCTTGAGATCTTTGACTTGCACGAATATGCATATAGAGATAGACGGTTAGTATTTAGGTACGATAACTACACTAAATGAAAACATCGCGATAAATACTACCATGACTATTGAAGTATTTATTCTAGCGACATTAGTCAAATCCTACTCGTTTTATATAATAGTAGATTAATATATCAATATGAAGACTAGCGTTTTATTTTCATTCACCACCAGCTACATCTGCTTCGCACAGAGAATTTCGTCACATGGATAGAGATAAACAATACGCTACGCCGATAGACTATAGTATTACTATAATTTATGTATTGGACAATACTTATTTGCCGTGATTTTACTATTTAAGGTATTATCAAGGGCCCTTATTATCCTACCTAGATAGCGACTTTTACATCTCACCGCACTGGGCAATGACTACGTCCATGTCTGGTATATCCCGTCCACGTCTACCAGTCTTCGTTTTTTCCATCTTCTCGACGACATCGAGGCCGTCGACGACTTTTCCAAAGACGACGTGTTTCCCATCAAGGTGAGGAGTAGGTACGGTGGTGATGAAGAATTGAGACCCGTTGGTGTGCGGACCCGAGTTCTGATCCACAGTCAGTACGGATAGGGGAAGATAAGATAGGAGGAGGACTTACAGCCATAGAGAGAAGTCCTTTCTGGGTGTGTTTCAAGTCGAAATTTTCATCTTGAAACTGCTTGGTGCCGTAGATACACTTAAAAGACGAATCAGTATTTGATCTACCAGCGCCTTCTTAGTAAACTTACGGTACTTCCAGTGCCATCGCCGTTGAGAAAGTCTCCGCCTTGAATCATAAAATTGCTAATCTATGATTCATTAGTATACCATTATCTTGATAGCAGCTGTAGAAGACGTACGATTCTGTGGAATTTGCTTCCTTTGTAACCCTGACTCTGGCCTCGACTGTTCTTGGACTCGCCGGTGCAGAACTGACGAAAGTTCTCCGCGGTGCGAGGAACAGTATCCTTGAAGAGCTCAAAGGTGATCCGTCCGAGGGGTTCACCTGCTGCAGATCAGAACCAGCGATAATGTACAGTATGACAAAGCAATAATATGAAGAAAGCCTCGTAACCCTATGTGAATACCTCATGAGGTAGAAAATAAAGGTCACGTGATCTCTTTTAAGACTGAGGCGATACTATGTATTGATTCAGGTCTTGGCCTCCTGCTTGAGAGAAAGCAAGGGCGGGAATAGATTCGGAAGCGCTTACCTCCGAGCGTAACGTCAAAGAAAACCCTAGTAATTCCACCTGATCAGTAAGGTAGCTCCGGAAGGCCGGGTACGGCTGACGAGGCCTGCTCAGCCACGGCGAGCGAAAGAAAAAAAAATGATTTAGACTTACAAAGGATTTCCGGAAGCCGGAAGTTGTGTTGGCGCCATTGGATAACGCAGAGAAAGGTGTGAATGAGGCGATAGGTGATGATGAGAATACCAAAAGTGGGTAGCTTATTTAGGTAGTATTTCAGTAAGCTTAGATAGCGTAGATGTAGTGAGTGTGGATGTAGATGTAGGTGTAGATGGGTGTAGATGAGAAAATGTTCGGGTTCGGGTACGCGGTAACCGGTGGTGAAACTCGGGGGGGTTATAGAAGGATACCACTTCCCTCCGTACTAGTCTACCAGATTTAGGAAAGTACAGTACGATAGCCAGTCAGCTGCGACGATCGACTATACATGCATATGTATCCATAACAAAAGGTTTTACGGTCGCGGGGCTAGTGGAGTCTAAAAAGAATAGACTTAGTGGGGTTTAGTATCAAACATCTGGTAACTTCCGTAATCTGGGGGAAGGCATTCCCTGGTTATTATCACTTTGTTACTCTTTTATGTCACTAATTTCTTCTCCCTACATACAACTAATACTTCTCGAACACCATCACGACGCCTTAAACTTTTAACTTCTTTCTATTAAAATTAGAAGAATCATATATAATGGGCCTTGTTTGATGCAAGTCGCGCTATATGATACTTAAGCGGCTATCCTGCATTAGCTCCTTAAAAGATCGACATTAATCGCCTGTTGTTGAGAATGACCTCATGGAGGACCTATAACGACCTTAATAGACCAATGCCATTATTCTCTCCGCAAGCCCACCTGTAATGATACCTATTAGCTACTTAGGTATAATAGAAGCTAACCGTTTACAATTAATGTCGGTGAATAAAACTCGACGGAATTTGATTACGGAGTGAACGGGAAACGGTTCTAGTCTATAGGAAGGTATAGAGCCTGTGTATACTAACAAACTACCTACGTACAGGTAGATAATTACTTCGAACATATCACTAAGATAAGTGTAGTTATTAGATACCCAAGTTTAGTTAAACGAAGTGGTCTTACGACTTCTATATTCTTGGCACTCTCATCAGCCTCATTGTTTTTCGGTTGCTACCCTACGTGCTATTGGTTTAGCCGTTGACAAATAAATACACCATACATTGGCACGAATCGGCCAGCCGTGACAAGTTCTGGGCACCAGCAAAGAGGCATTGCTAAAACCGAGCTATCCGAATGGCCTCGCATTTTCCCCATGTAAGAATAAAGGTAGAGGTATAAAGAAGCACTAGTTGGTGAGGTGGTGTAGTTATAAGCTTTCAGTAAGCTACGCCCTACTTCGCCCACTAATCGATCCACAAAGCTACGAGAAGTACGAAGTATCGCGAACATTAGAAGAAGATACCTCCTCTAAGATCTGATAACACTAAAACTTCAAAGCCCCCTCGTCTAAAAAGTATACCTATTCTGCTAGCCTAACATTTCTACCTAGGTAGTAGAGCGAGGGAACTCATGCACATAAACGGGAGGCCACCCCGAGGGGCGACACAAGCCGGAAGGGGAGGAAGGAAAAAACGGGGGGGGAAGAGGGGAAAAAGGAAAAAAGAAGGAGAAAAAAGGAAGAAAAGAAGAAAGAAAAGGAAAAGAAAAGAAAGGGAAGAGGGAAAGGGGGGGAGAGAAGAGGGAGGAGGAGGAGGGAGGGGGGGAAGAAGGAGAGGAGAGGGGGGGAAAAAAAGGAAAAAGAAAAGGAAAGGGGGGGGAGAAAGAAGGAAGAAAGAGGGAAAAAAGAGAGAAAGAAAGAAAGGGGAAAAGAGGAGAGGAGGGGAAAAGGAGAGGAAAGAAAGAAGAGAGGAAAGGAGGAGAGGAGGAGGAAAAGAAGGGAAGGGAGGGAGAGGGGGGAAAAGAGAAAGGGGGGGAGGAAGGGGAAAGGGGAAAGGAGGGAGGGAAGAAGAGGGGAGGGGAGGGGAAGAGGAGAGGAGAGGGAAGAGGGAAGGGAAGGGAAGGGAAGGAAGGGAAAAGAAGAGAAAAGAGGAGAAGAGAGGGGCGGGAAGGGGGGAAAGAAAGGAAAAAAAGGGAAGAAAGGGAAGAAAAGGAGGGAGAGAAGAGGAAAGAGAGGGGGGGAGGGGAAGAGAGGAAAAGAAGGGAAGAAGGGGAGAAAAGGGGAGGAAAAGAAAAGAAAAGAAAAGAGGGGAGGAGGAGGGGGGGAAGGAAAGAGGGGAAAGGGGGAAAAAACGGAGAGAGGGAGAAAGGGAGAGAAGAAAAGGCAGCAAAAGGGCGAGGAAGGGGGCAGGAGGGAGGAGGAAGGAGGAAGAAGGAAAGGGGGAGGAAAGAAAGAAGGAAAAAAGAAAGAGGAAAGAAAGAAAGAAGAAAGAGAAGAAAGAGAAGAGAAAGAAGGAAGAAGGAGAAAAGGAAGAAAGGAGGGGAAGGAAGGAAGAGAAGAGAAGAAGGGAAAGGGAGGGAGAGAGAGGGAGGAAGGGGAGAAGAAGGGGGGGAGGGAAGAGAAAGAAGGAAGGGGAGAGGAAAGAAAGGAAGAAAGGGAAAAGAGGAGAGGAGGGGAAGGGGGAGAGGGGAAGGAGGGGAAAGAAAGGAAAAGAAAGAGGGGAAAAAGGAGGAAGGAAGAGAGGGAGGAAGGGGGGAGGAAGGGGGGAGAGGAAGGGGAGAAGGGAGAGGAGAGAAAGAAGAAAAAAAGAAGGGAAAAGGGAAGAGGAAAAAAGAGAAAGAAGGGGAGAAAGAGAAGGGAAAAAAACGAGGAGGAGGAAGAGAGGGAAGAGAGGGAAAGAGAGGGGAGGGAGGGGGAAGGAGGAAGAGAGGAAGGAGGAGAAGGGAGGGAAGGGGAGAAGAGAAGAGAGAAGAGGGAGGGGAGGGGGGGGGGCAGGAAAAGGGGGGAAGAGGAAAGGGGAAGGAAAGAGAGAGGGAGAGGAAAAAAGAGGGAAAGAGAAAGAGAAGGGGAAAAAGCGGGGGAGAAAAGGGGAGGAAAGAGAGGAAGGGGGAGAAGGGAGGAAAGGGAAGAAGAGAAGAGAGGGAAGGGAGAGGAAGAGGGGGAGGGGAAGGAAAAGGGGAAGAAGAGAAAGGGGAAGGAAAGAGAGAGAGGGGGAAAAAAAGGAGGAAAAGAGAGAGGGAAGGGAAGGAAAAGAGAACGAGAGAAAAAGAGAGGAGAGAAGAGGGGGAAAAAGGACGAGGAGGACAAGGAGAGAGAGGGAAAGAAGGGAGAGGAACAAGGGAGAGGAAAGGAAGAGGGAGAGGAGGAAAAAACGGGAAGGAAAAGAAAAAGAAGAAGAAAGAGGAGAAGAGGAAAGGAGGAAAGGAAAGAAAGGAGAAAAAGGAAGAAAAAGAGAGTGGAGGAGAGAAAAGAGAGGAAGAAACCGGGAAGAAGAAAAGAAAAGAGAGGAAGAAGAAGAAGGGGGAAAAAGGGAAGGGAGGGGAAGGGGGAGGGGAAAGAAAAGAGGGGGGGAGGGAAAAGGAGAAAAAAAAAGGAAAAACGGGGGAAGGGAGGGGAGAAAAAGGGAAGAGAGAGAGAGGGGGAGAGAGGGAGGAAGGAGGAAGAGGAGAAAGGAGAAGGAGAGAAGGAGGGAGGCGGGAAGGAAGAGGAGAGGGGAAAAGAGGAGGGGAGAGGGGGAAGGAAGGAAGGGGAGGGAGAAGGGAAAGGAGGGGAAAAGAGGGGGGGGGAGGAGGAGGAGGAGGAGGAGGGGGGAGGGAGGGGAGGGGAGGGAGGGGGGAGGGAGGGGAGGGGAGGGGGGGGAGGGGAGGGGAGGGGAGGGGAGGGGAGGGGAGGGAGGGGAGGGGAGGGGAGGGGAGGGCTAGGGGGGAGGAGAAGAAGAAGGAGAAGAAAAGAAAAGAAAAGGAAGAAAAGGAAGGAAGGAAAAAGAAAAAGAAAGAGAAGAGAAGAAAAGGGAAAAAAAGGCGGGAGGGAGAAAGGCGCAAGCGGGGGACAGACGGGGAAACGGGCAGGGAAAAGGCGGGAAAAACAGGGAAAGAGGGAAGAAAGCGGAGCCAAGAGGGGGGGGGAGGAAGGGAGGAAGGGGGGAGGAGGGAGGAAAAAAGGACGGAGGAAGGAGGGAGGAAGGAGGGAGGAAGGAGGGAGAAGAGAGGGAGCAAGGGCCCAGAAGAAGGGCCAAAAGGGAAACGGAAAAAAGAGGGCCCAAAAAGAAAAGAAAGGAAGAAAAGGAAGGGAGGAAGAGAAAAAGAAAAGAGAAAAGGAAGAAAGGGCGGGGAAGAGAGGAAAAAGCGGGGAAGAGAAAAGGGGAAAGAAAGGGAAAAGAGAGGAGGGAGAGGGGGGGAAGAAAAAAAAAGAAAAAAAGAAGGGGAAAGGAAGAAGGAGAGGAGAGAGAAAAAAAGAAAAAAAAGAAGGGAAGAGGGGAAGAAAAAGGTAGGGGAAAGGGAAGGAGGGGGGAGGAGGGAGAGGAGGAAAAAGAGGAAGGGAGGAAGAAGGGGGGGGGAGACGGGGAGGAAGGAAGGGGAAGGAAAAGGAAGAAAGGAGGGAAAGAAAGGAAAAGAAGAGAAGAAGAGAAGGGAGGGAGGGAGAGAGGGAGGAAGGAGGGAGGAAGGGGGGGAGGGGGGGAAGAGAGGGAGGAGAAAGAAGAAAGGAAAGAGGAGGAGGGGAGGCGGGGGAGGGGAAGAAGGGAGGGGGGAAAAGGGAAGGGAGGAGGGGAGAGGGGGAGGGGAAAGGGGGGGAAGGGGGGGGAAAAAAAGAAAAGGGAGGAGGAGAGGGAAGAAAGGAAAAAAGGGAGAGGAGGAGAGGAGAGGAGGGGAAAGGGGAAGAAGGGAGGAAGGGGAGGAAAGGGGGAGGGAAAGGAAAAGGGGGGAGGAAGAGAGAGAGAGGAGGGGAGGGAGGGACGAGGAGGGAGAGGAAAGAAAGGAAAAAAGGAGGGGAAAAAAAGAAAAAAAGAAAAAAGAAGAGGAAAGGAAGAAGAAAAAAGAGGGGAGGGAAAGAAGAAGGAGAGGAGGGAAGGAGAAGGAAAAAGGAGAGAAAAAGGAGAGAAAGAGGAGAGGGAGGGGGGAGAAAGCCAGGAAAGGAGAGAGAGAGGGGGAGAGGAAGGGGAGAGAGAGAGAGGGGGAGGGGAGAAGAGGGAAAGGAAAGAGGGAAGGAGAAGAGGGAGGGAAGGAAGGAGAGAAGGAAAGAAAAAGAAGAGAAGAAAGAGAAAAAGGGGAGGAGAGAGAAGGAAGGAAAAAGGAAGGAAAGAAAGAAAAGGAAAGAAAAGAAAGAAAAGAAAGAAAAGAAAGAAAAGAAAGAAAAGAAAGAAAAAGAAAGAAAAGAAAGAAGAAGGGAGAAGAAAAAGGGGGAAAAAAAAGAGAGGGGAGGGAGGGGAGGGGAGGAAAAAAGAGAGAGGAGGGGGGGGAAAGAGAGAAGAGAGGGAAGAAACAGGGAGAAAAAAAAAAAAATAGAAAAAAGAAAAAAAAGAAAATAAAAGAAAAAAGAAGAAGAGAAATAGAGAAATAGGGAAAAGAAATTTTAATATATTTATTAATAAATTTATAATAATATAATTTTTAATTTTTTAAATAAATTTAAAAATTTAATTAAAAATTTAAAAAATATTAAAAAATAATAATAAAATAATTAAAATATATTAAAAAAATAAATAATATATTTATAAAATATTTTTAATTAATTTTATTAATTTAAAACCTATTAACGTAAGGCTGAGATAACTAGCGCAAGGCTAAGATGCAAGGCTAACAAAGCTTTACCTTTAACATACTAAAAATCTCTTGACACAAAACCTTAAGTAAACTTAAGGCAAAGGGGGTATGCGTTTGAGGCTGTTCGCGTACCATATCTATGATTCGTGGAGCGGCGACAGCAGCCGCATCCGATCGGCGCAATAAAGATGACCGAGAATTACTAGAACGACATTATCGCGTGTTCGCTAATAGCCAGCCACGAAGCACATGCTACTGATTTGTATTTAATTGGAATTCAAACCAGAGCCATCCAAATAACGAATCATGTCGAGATAAACCTTTAACGTCCATCATTTAAGTTAAGCAGCAATGCAAAGCCCGCGCTGAGCCTAGAACTTTGGATGAAGTCAGGAGTAACATGTAGACGTAATTCGTGCCTCTTCTTGACGCAGTGCATTAATCATTCCGAACGTTTGTGATCAGTGATGAGTTATCGATGAATTTAACTGGGAGCCATGTCGATAAATTACCTAGCTTTCTTATTATCGTTCGATGCGATGCTATTCAATGCTGGTCATCCAGCCTGTTGATGTTCCCTTTAAGAAGGATGTCTCTTACTGTATTTGTTGTGGTATCATTATCGAATGCATGACTTGAGCTCTGCCACGCTTACGTAGTATTGAGAAGTCTTAGATAGATCTGTACTTCCTTAATTAGATTCCGATATCCACTACATAGGAAAGCGGTAGTCTTGGGATCCCAAAGGTCGATATAGAGATGCAAGCTTTAGGGTATGACCACCTATCAATTAACGAATTATATATCTTAGATGCCTATACATAATCTGTAACTTGATGAGGTACTGGGTGGGACTTACATTTAAATATACATGAGATAATTGTGCTGCCATACGATAATTCGATGGGAAATAATTAAGTGCATCAATCATCGTTCTATTCCGTATTATGCTGTAGCACACTAATACGCACACCTAAGATCATTTTCTTCCATCCAGGTTCCTTTTTCGTGTTAGGGTATCTATGAGTGCGACGGCGGCGCAAGAGATTGGGTAGTAGAATAGACCTCAAGACACTTGCGCTATACTAGTTTAGAATACTAGTTGGATAAGAGGGTGTATTATATATCAGGCTGTATTTTAAGCGCCCATCTAACATCTCCCCTGGTGATCTAGAATGCCTACACAACTGACAATAATATGCTTTTGGAATGTAAAATTTATACTCCCATATCATACCTACCTTAGGTTAAGTACATTAGGTAGGTAAGGAAATTGAAAACCGCCACTATCACCGAAACCGTGGGGTTTGAAGAGGCTTGTATAACTAACCTGTTTTTAGGTAATTTCGAAGTTCTGAAACAGCAATAAAGTCTAGCCCTTCCTTATCAGATAAACGATCTTGTAAACGATACTAACCGTTTTGCATTTTGATGCCGCTCGGTTTAAAACTCAATTTCAGTAAATTGCACCAATAACAATCTCATTAACAACCCTGGGTCTCTGCAAGTCACATTGTGTGGATCATTTGTCCTGTGCTCCCACCCATGATTACTATGAATGGTTCATGATGTAATAAGACAATATGTATACGAGCGTATATGTAAGAAACTTAGGTACCTTGCGTAAAATCATTGTTTGCTTAGGTGTCGCCTTCGGATCTGCCCCACTGACTGACTGACTGACTGTACATAAACGTATATGTATAGATTTGACAAATATTTTGATGACAGTTTTGGATAATGATTCTCATTCAAGTTCAAGGTCTAAAATCAGGAGCCGAAACGGGTCGACTAGAGCTGCATCTCTATTTCCTTGTCTGGCTTAGACATGAATGCTCCTGTTCCTAAAGTACTGGAACTAACCTTTTGATTGGGTAATTACGGTTCCACTACTACCTATCAATGAAGCCGAAGCGTTCAAAACCGCCCCAGTAAAGCCCAGCCCATCCAGCCCCGACAAGGACCGTCTGCAGCGTATGCAGCGTCTGCCACTTCCCACTTCCGTCTCAAAGTTGGCTGCTTGCGCAGCTGCGAGTTTATTACATATCACAGGACCTGACGGACTAAACAGTCAGACTTTCTACCCCCAAATCCCCAAATCCTTCCTTATTATGCGCTTCTCCGTCCACAAAGTTCCCTTGTCCTTTTTTTAATGGTCGCACTTCTTTCTCCACCCTTTTTCCCTTGGCTGAAGGCCTAAACTAATAACGTACATTACAACTTTGACCACTATTCCACTATTCCACTATTCTTATCCTTTGCCAACTTCCAACTTCACCCGTACCTTGGCACTCCCGCCCGCGGATATTGCGACGATCGGCATCATTTGCTATTTTGCTTTTTTTCCTTTTTTCCTTCTCGAAGGCATAATCGCAGAAAAAAAACATACCTAGAGAGGACGTAGATCGTGATTCAAATCAATTCCCCACACAACGATTTGATAGTAAATGGCATCTTTGGTTAGGATACAACCGTGTTGATACGATTCTTCGTCGAGGCCTTTCGCCGATGACCCTCTCGATTGACGATTAATCGGCCGTTCCGATATCTGTTCCAATTGTAGTCATCTCATTTGCGAAGATGGCGGATTTCAATCAGGTCTTGGCGGGTGGCGCCCATTTTGTCGCAAGAGCGATTGAACATCAAGTTCGACAGGCCGCTTCGTCGGTAGATCCAACGTCTTCGGTCTTTAGTTCTGCGTCTGGCACTCCTACGCCATCAGCAGCCTCGCCTCCCGCGACTCCAGAGCCTTCTACGGGTAACACGAACAACGACAATCAAAATAATGGTGGCCAGTCGACTAATTCCCCTCTACTATTCTTTGTAGCCCTGGGGTTTGGTGTCGTTTTTACCAATCTTTGGTAAGCTATATCTAACGGCGTAGCCGTCGGCTGCTGCTTCACAATCTAACATTTGGGATAGGATTATCGTTGGTGTCAAGTACTGCTTTCGCTACAACGCACGTAATCGACAGCTGCGAGGATTGGATGAAAATGGAGAACCTATCAACCTCGAGAACATGCCCGCTAGACCACATCGTCGACGTCGAGAAAAGAAGTTGATGACGATGGATGAAGTCAACGATAAATTTCCTATGATGAAATACAAGGCTTGGGTCTCAGCACGTGCAAGCGAAGGGCTGCCTACTGCGGGTGGTGTCTCTGCCCCGCCTAGCCGCGCCAACAGCGTAAGGAGCGTTGAAGGCATCGTGCCGGAAATAACGTCTAAAGAACAAGAATCAAACGAGGATCACATTGATCCTAGCTCTGTCCCAAAACCTACGGATCGAGAAAGGTCTCACGCCAGTCATGAGAGTCAGGACACCACAGCCGATAGTAACCCAGCTGGCGACAACACACTTACCCACGCGCAAACCGCGGAAAGTATAATAATGAAAGACCATGACCATCGTGCGAGTATCGACGAAGAGGATGATGATGACGAACACATAGACGCTGCCCTGCCTCCCGAATTGGTAGGTACTCAGGGAGATACGTGCGCAATCTGTATCGACACACTCGAAGACAACGACGATATTCGTGGATTAACTTGCGGCCATGCTTTCCACGCTGTTTGCATCGACCCTTGGTTGACCAACCGGAGAGCGTCATGTCCCCTCTGTAAGGCAGATTACTATACACCTAAGCCACGCCCGCCTCCTGCAGACGGTGACCCGGCAAATCCTACATCTCACAATGCCGATCCATCCCGAAGTAATGGTCGAATGAATATGCCGAGGTCTCCGCAACGCACGTTCACTTCATGGAGCAACTTCCGGGGGGCTCCGCGTGGTATGATTGCGGGTCGCTTCGGAGGTGTCGGTTCGGATTCGGCGAATTACAACCGGCAACCACGGATATGGGAGAGAAATCGCTCAGAACACCCACGAGATCATCATCGTCGCCATAACCCCCAACCTGAGTCTCAGCCAGCCGCAGCGGAGAACGCCGGGATTTTTTCAAGAGTTCGCGGTCGTTTCCCACCATTCCGACTGAATGAGCTGATGCGGAGGGACCGTAATGGGCAAGCCCCAGATGCAAGCGGGGTGACGGCTTCTGGTGCCAACGGCGGGGCGAACACTACACCGTCACAATTGGAAGCTGGTGTACGACCGTCTACGACTGCGGTTAACTGAGGAATTTTAATATCCATAGAAATCGGCTTAATCCAAGGAATATATAAATATTGCATTGTTTCATGGTCTTTTCAACCATATCCTATATACGACATCGCGAAATGAGTCCGCATACCCCTGTATCTGCTTTCTATAAGTTTCTTTTTCCAACAACGACAACACCTAGCCGTCAGAAGATCAGCACATCGCTTAGCTCACCTGCCGATCCAGAGAGTTGCCGAGGCTATACGGTAGGGGGCCGGAGGGCAAGAAACTATTGAGGAGTTTGCGTTGCGGACGGAGGGAAAATCAGTGACGTTCATCATTACTTTTAGGTTTTTGTTCAAGGTTGATCCCGGCCGGCACCCCGAACCTTCGAGGGCGAAGGACCGAAAAACATGGTCAGGCGTCGCAATGCATTTGTTTGCGGGAGTAGGCGGTGTTCCAAGGTATTCTCCCAGTATAAACGTCAGGGTTTCCCCCTTCCCTTTGAGGAGTTTTAGTTGAGGGCAGATCTGTATCGTATCGTTGTAGGGAAGTAAGAGGGTTTGCTATTCTCTTTTTTCTAGTGTTCTCAGAGCCAAAGGAGTAAAGGAGAGGCGGGAGTGTTATTGAAATCGGAGGACTCCCTGCATGAGCCTTGTATGTACCTATCTACCTAGCAAACACGCCAGCTAGGAAGAGAGCAATGCTAGAAAGCAGATTGCGATGAATGGACTATATTCATATTCGTATTTTGAAACATGCTAGATTAGGTCTTGAATGTATTGCTATATCATACTCTTTATAGTATAAGCTACCTAGCTTAGATGCAATTCTATATATGAAAGACCTCGTTGTCCTCAGCCTTTTAGTTTGTGGATATGGGTATCTTCATAACTCGGCTTTAAATATATCCCTATCCTCCATCTTCTATCTCCTTTACTTCTTATTACTTCGGATAATTTCTTTAATTATAACCTATACTCTATCTATCTATACCCAATCATGTGCAGACAACCGCCACAACCCCCTAGAGGTACTTCCCCTTCGCAAACCTCCCGCCGAAATCCGCAGCGCGATTCAGCAATTCCCGGCGCTGCGCGGTGCCGATGCGCCCGCCGAGCTTCATATCTTTCTCGCGGTCGAAGGCGCGCTTGCTCGGATCGTCTTCCTCCTCGTCGGTCTGCAGTTTGCGCCCTTGCCGCGACGCCTGGTGCTCTTCGTACAGGCTGCGGCCGCGCGTCGCCTCGGTGTAGCTGCGCACGCGGTCCTGCTGCTCTTGGGCTTCTTTCGATAGCGGGGCGTCTGCGGCAGCGACGGTACTACCCGTACCACCATGGCCGCTGCTCGTGGTCCGCGCCTGCGTGGTGTCGTCGGTGCGCCCTAGGACGGCGTTCTCAAGGCGCTTGCGCTTCTGCTCGGGCGTCTCCGTCCATATGCTGCTGATCTCGTTGCTGGGCGCGGCGCTGGACGCCGTTCGCGGGCCGCTTGCGAAACGCCGGTTTTTTAGCTTGGTTGGGTCCGGCGCGCGGTATCCGCTGGCGGTTGGGGGCGCGAGCATCCAGTCGTCGCGCTGGGGGCCGGCGGCTGCTGCGGCTGCGCGAGCGGCTTCTTCGGCGGCGCGGGCTTGGGTTTGGCGTTGGATGTGGGAGGTTGATGTTGGAAGGGCGGGGCCGTAGTCATCATCGTCGTCGTCGTCGTCGTCCGAATCTGAGTTGGTGGATGTGGTTGGTCGCTCGGAGAGGGGGGCGGGTGGAGGAGCGGGGCCGTGGACGCGTTTTGCGGATGGAGGGGCTGGAGGTGGTGCTGGTCCAGCCTCGTCGTCGGAAGAGTTGTTTTTGTCTTCTAATTGGGTTTCATCCCGGTTTGTGGGCGGGAGAGTAGGTCCTATAGATGGTCGAGCATTCATAGGTGGCGGTGGAGCGGATGGACCGATGTCATCGTCGTCACTGTCGTCTAATTTAATCTCATCTGTGTTTGAGGGCGGTAAGGTAGGTCCTATAGATGCTTTCGATGCTGGCTGAGGAGCAGGTGGACCATAGCCATCATCATCATCGCTGTCGAGATCTATTTCGTCCTGGTTGGTTTGCGCTCCTTCTGTAGCTCGTAACTTTGCGGCGGGAGAATCTGCTGATTCGTCTTCTGGAGTACGCTTGCGTTTAGAAAGGTGGGGTGGTAATTGAGGTCCTACGGACGGCATTGTGAATTTGATGTTAGAATGTATAGCTAATGATGACTTGGGATCTTGGAAGTCTGATGATAATATTAATATTAATAGGATAGGAATGTACTAAACAAAAATGTACCTTTTACAAGGCTAAAAGTTGATGTCAAATGAGCTAAGATATCGATTACACCGATTACACCGATTACACCTGTGATCCCCGTTCTTGTTGGCTCGTGCAATGCTTATCATTTAGCGGTTTTTAGTGGATCCTCGTTTATGATTGGTGATGTTCCTCACTAAACTTAGCAGCCCCCTGTTCCTACATTCACTATGCCTGCTAATAGTAAGGCTGAGCTAGGTACCTCGACGTTAAGTAAATGAATGGATTCGAGAGGAGCTGCAATAGCGTCTAATAAAACACTTGTACTACTTCATTTCTTCTTTTACTTCTGTAGACAGCTTAAAGAGAAACCCGTCTGCCATACCGTCCTCCACCCCGCGATTTTGTACCGATAATCACCATCTAATTTTCGGCCTCCGATAGAGCCGTAGAACGAATACTTACCTACCTAAAGCTTCGAGCTTACTAGGCATAGTACGCAGCAGTAAAGGCAGTTTCGATAGCTACGAAATCGTGAAGCCAATTTATCTAAAAGCTACGGCGCAAAGCAATAAAAAAGTAGCGATCATATTTGAAGTCATGCGCCCGATGTGGACGTCTCGATGAGCTTGCCTTCCCCGGAGAAAGACGATGGGGTTGCCAACATGGATGATGATCATCTAGATCTGTCTCCTGATGGAGAGGGGGTATCGAGTGACGATGAGACAATTAAACCAGAACATGGAATGGAACAAGAGCAATTAGAAGAGGATTTTGAAGGAGAGCCAGGAAGTATTGTGTCCGACCAACCTAGTGGAAATGGAGTTGTCGCGAATCGGTATCGTCAACTCCTACGAAATCGCGATGATGTCTCGGAAGCAGGATCTAGCGAAGGTCTTCCCCGAAGAGCCGGGAGCCCTATCGATTCGTTACTTTCTATACCCGACGATTCGCCTTCAGTCCAAGTAAGCTTTTATACTTACCACGATTTTACTTAACTAGAAGGAAAAAGTATAGGTTAGCTAACAGCTTCAGGGCTCCATGATATCTTCCCTTGGGAGCAGTAGAGTGCCCTCTCTCGCTTCTCGCCCTGGGCTTAGCAGTCCTACGCCTTCATTTAGACCCTTCGATCGACGATTCCAATCTCGTATAGCCTCCCCTTCGGCGCTATCTCCGCGGCCGTCGTCGCCTGCTTTTCTTGCGGGACACAGCAGACAGGCATCCATGAGCAGCCAGCTCTTATTGGAATCTGGCGAAACCGAAACTCCCACACCCCCGTGGGAAGTAGTACGATGGACTAAGCTAAAGAAATTAAACGGACAGGTATTCTCTGAAGCTGGGAAGCGTAACTTTGGTTCGCCTACATGTATAGCTATTTCTGCGTCCATCGTATTGGGCACCTCCAAAGGCATAATCCTAATGTTTGATTATAATCAGAATCTTAAGATGATTATCGGCCCAGGAACGAAAGGTTTGCACTGCTTTTAACCCCCTTTACAGCTGTTTGTTAACTAGTTACAGCTATTGAATCCGGGTCTATCACAGCCATCGCTATCTCTGCAGATCACACCACGATAGGCAGTGGTCATGCTAGCGGTAACATCTTCACGTGGGATACTAGCCGAGTGTCTCGGCCCTTCCTCCATATTCCGCCTCTTGACCCAACCCAGTTGCAAAACCGGACGACGGATGGCCATATGCCTAATGTAGCAATAACCCATATAGGATTCCTAGGTACCAGGCACACTGCTCTAGTCTCCGCTGACGACCGCGGAATGGCATTTTCACACCTTGCAACTCGGGGTACTGGTGCTCTTGGGCGAACGGTCAAGACAGTGAGGATACTAGGCCGCTACCCTGATGCTCCGCCTCCCACATCAGGGAAGCCCCTGAAGCCTAGCACCGTGTTGGCCTTTTCTCCATTGCCGCTCGGGAATGTAGAACGGGCAACAGACACGATGGGCCTCACAGCAATGCTTACCCCTTATCTACTTGTCATAGTCTCGACGACACCAATTGCGCAGACTCAGCATAAATCCGCCAGACCAAAAGATGTTGCACCGCACAGTGCTATGACCGGCTGTTTAGCGTGGTTTCCTGCAGTCAAATTGAAGGTCCCTGACCCTATCACCGGTAGTACTATGTCTAAAGTCAAACTGGTCTACTGTTGGTCCAATGTGCTCACCGTTCTTGACGTGGATGAGGTACCTACAGATGGCAAAGATAAGCCTCCCACCCTCAAATTCAAGGCGCGTAGTAGATGGACGTGCGAAGAAGCGATTGTAGCAGTCCAGTGGCTCAGTCGCTCTGTTTTGACCGTCCTCACAATCACGCAGAGACTCATTGTTCTTGAAGACCGCTCGATGAGGATGACGGAAGCTTTCGATCTCATCCATAAGTACATATATCATGCCGATCTCTTTTCCGCTCAATTACACAACCTAGTTGAGCAGCTCGATGAAGATGACACGTCAATGCATGGGGTTGTCGCAGATGCTTTCTACATGAGTTTTAAGGCGTATAAGGGCCGCATCTTCCTGTTAGGGTTCAATGATGTATCTATCGGTGCATTATCGAACTGGGCTGATCGATTGATAGCACTGATGGAGAACGGCGACTACATTGGTGCAATACAGCTAGCAACTACTTACTATACAGGGGACGCAAATAAGCTAACAGTCGGCCTTCCTGAAGATGCTGCTTTGAGACACCGAATGGTACGTGATAAGATAATGGAGATCATGAGCGCATCTCTGAAATATGCATTTGGTCAACGGCAAAAGAACAAGGCCTCAGTAGATGATCAGCATCTACGACAACTTGCAGAAACCTGTTTTATCGCCTGCCAAAGCGTAGGGGACCTCGACTTCCTCTTTGATGACATGTACGAATGGTATGAAGACGCCGACGTCGAAGGTGTTTTTTTGGAGGTATTAGAACCATATATTCTCGAGAAGACGATATCAGTCGTGCCACCAACCGCCGTCAAGGCCATGGTTGCTCACTATGTTAGCAAAGGTTGGGAAAGCCGCCTAGAAGAGATAATTTGTCATATGGAAACTACTACCCTCGATATCGATCAGATAACCTCGCTTTGCAAGCAGCATGGCCTTTATGATGCCCTCATATACGTCTGGAATCAGGCGTTATCCGATTACATCACGCCTCTTATCGACCTACTTACTCTGTTAATACCTCTGGTGCAGAACACCGAATATACAAACTCCGGAGATCTAATGGAGGATGAGATATTTGGAGTTAATGGACTTAAGATGTTCCCATATCTCTCTTACACGCTAACTGGGAGAATATATCCTACGGGTGGTAAGATGGAAGATGGAGTGGCTTCCCAGGCCAAGGCAGAGCTTTACTGGTTTCTCTTTTCTGGGAAGAGCATAAGTTGGCCTAAAGGCAGCAGCAAAGTATTTCTTACTCGTCCAAAGCAAGCGGAAGAGCCGTCTTTCCCGTATCTCAGGATGATACTACAGTATGATGCGCCGAGCTTCTTAAGTGCGCTGAATGAAGCCTTTGAAGACTCTTTTTTAAACGAGTCTCAGGAGAAGCAACTCAACGGTGGCACTGGAAAAGACTTACCAGAAGAGCAGATATTCGGCTTGACTGTCGATCGCCAATATGTTGTGTCCATCCTATTAGAAATCATGAATCGAAGCGACTTTGCACCAGAGGATACCATATATCTGGATATGTTTATCGCACGAAATCTTCCTAAATTCCCACAATATCTTCTCATACCAGGTTCTACCCTCGACAAGGTCTTAGCCGGGCTATGCAATTACCCTGGCATAGATCTCGCCGAAGATGCCCAGTTGAGTGCAGAATATCTACTCTCTATATACCAGCCACCAGACATATCAGCAACGATACCTCTATTCAAGAAGGCGTGTTTCTACCGTATCCTAAAGCGGATATACAGGAATGACAAACAGTATGGAAAGCTACTACAAACTTACTTCGAGGACCCAGAAGACCAAATGGACGTTTTTGAATGCGTCGTGGAGTGTCTACGCCCCCAAGCTAATCTCACCAAGAAGCAGATACAAGATGTGCACGATGTTATTAAAAATAATTCAAAGGACTTGGTCGAGCTCGACCCAATCCAAGCTGCTCAGACCCTGAGTACGTACGCGCCTAACTTGCATAGATTCGTCTTAGACTCGCTTGAGGAGGGATCAGAACAGCAATTTGCGTACCTCCGAGCTCTACTCGAACCTAACTCCGAAACCTCAAGACAACCAGCTACGACCCTAGACCGGGATTTCATTGAACAATATGTACAACTCATGTGTCGGTATGACCCTTCCCACGTCTCGGATTATGTCGGCATCGTACAAGCTACAAACCTAAGGCTAGACAAATTACTGCCAGCTATGGAAGATACAGGAGTAATCGACGCAGTAGTTATTCTTATGGCCCGAGAGGGGCAAGTTCAAGACGCTATGAGCCGCTTAACGAAACATTTAGAAACTTTAGAGTCAGCTCTTCAGGGATTAGTAGCAAATGCAGATGAGCATTCCGAAGATATAGACATCAAAGAAGCTGCCGAAGATCTTCTCAGAGGACTGCAGAAATATACGCATGTTGGTATCTGGCTATGTCAGGGACAGATGAAAACCACCAAGAAACTCAATGCGGTCGGCCGACGAAATTCGCCATCACCTAGCGAACTTTCCCCCGATGAAGCGTTATGGCTTGAGTTAATAGACACCACAGTCCAGATCACGCGGCGTTTATCATCCGTTGTTGCGCCATCTAAACCAATCAGAGTCTCTAGTACTGCTTCTCCATCACCGGTTCTTGATAGCGACAAGTTGGTAGGGCTCCTGCGCTCACTTGTACAGCACACATTCACGGCGCTTATGACAGCAACATCCACTCAGAGTGGTGTCCTTCCTACCAACCGCATAGCAAGCTC